AATGAGTATTGATTATGAGTTGATAAAAATATAGTGTATATAGAGTTTGTGTTGATAAAGTTTCAAGAGCTAGATAATGATGATATCCTTGTGATATGATTGTAGAGAGGTTTGTTTTAGTGCCATTTGAGCTTGTTAAAGCTTTGGGAAGTCGGTATAGTAAGGGGTAAGCTTTTGACCTCTCAAAAGTTTGAGATAACCAGGGAAAACTCAATTTTTATAGTTGAATGTTAATTGTATTTGTGAAATATGATTTATGAGTTTAATTGAAGATGCATATTGGCAAAGTGTTGATTTATGAAATGTTTTCTTTTGAAAGAAAACCTTGATTCTATAACCCTTGATTTTTTTATGAAATTAATTTTGATTTATTAATAGGGGTGGAGAATTATGATGAAATATGTGTTAAAGTGTGGAGCATTTGTGTTATGTGAGTTCATGTGTTGATAAATGATTGTTAAGATGCATATTATATGTGAAATATGCATAGTATGATCATTAGCGGGAATTCACTTAAAGAGAGGAGTAAATTGGTTGAAAATCCACCTGTTATTGGCAGTGACCGTTGGAATCGAAAACTAACCTTGGCACCCACCATTGGAATTAAAAGGTAGCCCTTATCTCATGATTGTTTTGGGACTGTCCCACTTATTCTATGAAGGACTCAAATCTAACTAGTCTCCACCGATTCATAAGGAGGCTAAATTAAGAGTACGACACCTCATAGTTGTTAGTATTGAGAATAATCGGATTACATAAGTGAGTAAATTAACCCTGGCTTGGTAGCTCCTCACAAGTAGAAGGTTGGGTTAGTCCGTGAAGGACGTAGCCGCGTGATAGCCACTGACTTCATGTCGGAGGTAAGAGGGGGATATAAGATTGGCATATGATCATGCACATAAGTCTGGCCACATGGTTGTTAGTTTTGTGGTCCGATATCTGTAGAGGGTGCATGGTTGTTATTTTACGACCCTATGTTATGTTTTTGTAAAATGACATGATATGGTGTTTTGTGACAAGTCCAGTCACATGGTTGTTAGTTTTGTGAACTGTGGCTTAATGCTATGTGAAATATGTGTTTATTTGCTTAATTACATATATTTACAATTAATATGTAACTGTAAGGATTAAGTGAAACTTGGTTATTGAGTGGTTGTACTCACCCCTCAATTCTAAATATTTTTAGGACCTAACTCATCAGATTTGAGTCAAAAAAATATACAGTGGCTTAGGATTGGTAGAGTAATCCTCTATATGCCTCTCTTTGCTATTTACATGTGTATTTATCAATGTAATTGCCAACTAGGATTAATTGTCATGATTTGTACACTACTTGCATGATTTTGTGTATAACTAGTATATTTTGTGCCCTGGGTTAGTGAGTTTTATTGTGAACCCATGGATAGAGTTAAAATACTTGTGCGAGTAGGAACATATGTATTTTTGAGAAATATGAATGAAATAATTGACTTTATGCAACTTTTCCTCCCCCTTTTTGTTTTATAAAAATTGAAGTTGAGAGGTGATTTTATGAAATAAGCATTATTGGTTAAGTGTGGTGTGTTGCACGAGTCCGTAAGAGTCCATTGAGTATGGTCGGATGGTTTATGTAAGCTATTGGCACTTGTGGTTAAGTTGGAGCACCCTATTTGAAAATTTTGTAAAAATATGGTTAAAAGGGGTTTTTAGTGTCCAACTTTTCATAGAAAATGAATTTGATTGTAAAATCTGTGCTATTAACTAAAGCTAAGAGAAAGCTCCGTATAGACATAGAAACCACCTCAATTGGATGTCTGACAGAGATTTAAAACGCATCAAAAGTTCGCTCTTTATGCTGTCAAATGACAGCATTGATTTGTCAAATTTCATGCAATGCACGTCATTTTTGCACAGAACTTGTTTTTAAGTTTTAAAACTCATTATTTTTAGGTCCCAATTAATTTTTAAGCTTTCGCTTTATTTTTAAAACTTTGATTTGGAGTTTTTAAATTGTGTTTGGGATTTGAATTAACAAATTAGGATTCCTATGAAATAATTTTGAGAAATTCTCTTTTTAAAACCTCAGATTACTATGATTTAGAATTAATTGTGGTTTAACCTCATGGAGGTTATAGCTAGATCCCATGGAGATCGTCAGTATATGAGATAGGTGGAAAAAGAGCTTTAGGATCAATATAACAAATCTCTCTAGCAAGAGGAAGGATTGGTAACATACCTGCTAGAAATCTCTCCACAAGGAATTGTTAACATACCTGCCAGAAAAAGGAAGTTAAGCAAAAGAATCGAGGGTGCTGAAAGAGCTAGATCCTACAGAGACAGTCAATATCTGAGATAGGTGGAAAAAGAGCACTGGGATCAATATAACAAATCTCTTCAGCAAGAGGAGCTCCTTTGGTTTTAAAAGTCAAGGTGCAGCTAGACTATGAGGGGAGATTAAAATAGAAAATTTTTTCAAGCCAGTATAGTTATAAGAAGGCACAAGAATAGAATAGTCACTCTAAAAGATGGTATAGGCACTTGGATTTTTGATATTAAAGAACTGAAGAACCTTACTTGCAATTACCACAATGATATTTTCTCGCATGCTGGTTATAGACCACTTTTTATGGAAAAAAGAAACCTTCTCATCCTTTGATAATTAGGAGATCTCAATGTTTCATAAAGAGGTTGATAAAGTTGAAGTTAAAAAAGTAGTCTTCAAAATGGGGGGATACAAAGTCCCAGGCCCTCATGGTATCCAAGCTTTTCTTTATCAACAATATTGATATACTTTACATATTTCCATCGTCAAACTTGTGAAAGAAGCTGTTAGAGATCCTACCAAAGTAGGTGATCTTAATAAAACTCACTTAGTCCTCATTCCTAATGTTGATAATGTGGAAACTATGAAGGATCTTAAACCCATCTTGCTTTGTAATGTTAATGACAAAATAATCTCTAAAGTCATCTCTAATAGATTAAAACCTCTCATGAACAAATTGGTTGGAGAACATCAATGCAGCCTTATTCCTGAAAGACAAAGCAATGATAATATCATCATGGCTCAAAAAATCATTCACTCTATCAGACTAAAATGAGGTCAAAAAGGCTTTGTTGCTATTAAAGTCAACCTTGAAAAAGTCTATAATAAAGTGAAATGGGCTTTTATTAAGACAACATTAGAAGAGATTGGGTTGAATGAACAGCTTCGTAATCTCATTATGGTCTGTGTGGAGAGTGCCTTTCTCCAAGTGCTTTGGAGTGGGGAGTCTTGTACAAAATTTCTACCCTCAAGATGACTAAGACAAAGAGATCTAGGTTCTCCTTATCTTTTCACCCTATGTATGGAATGTATGAGTCATGTGATTAAGGATGATATTGGAAGAGGTAGGTGGAAATCTTTCAAGTTCTCTAAGGATGGCTGCAATATCACTCATCTTTTCTTTATTAATGATCTTGTCTTATTTGTTGAAACATCTAATCGTCAAATGGATGTTATGTGATAAATAGCAATTTTATATTTTTTTTATTCTTTTAATTTAGACTTTTAAATATTTATTTGAGGCTATTTGAGTTTAATTGAATATTATTTAATTTTATTAGTCAATTTTTCACTTTTGAATTTTTACTACCTAAATCTTGAATTTTAAAACATAAATGATATCTTTGTTATTTTTTGCACATTTACTATTTAATTTTATTTTATGTGTGCATATTTGTTGGATCTAATTTGAAAGATATTGATGGAAATTGTTTTGGATAGAAGAATATGGGCATGTTTAAAGATCAAGTCAATAATCAAATTATATAAACTTTATTTATATTTATTTTAAATGTGTTAGTATAATTTTCAATTAAGGTTATTATTTTTCATTAAAATAATTTAGTGGACGCACGGGGACACAGCTTTTTGAATAAAAAGTGAAGGATAGAAATTGAATTGGAGTGGAGAGCAGAATTGAAATAAGAAGGTAGAGCTGGCGGCGGAATTAGGCAGGAGAACCGAGGCGGACATGGCAATTGCTCTTCGTCTTCTTTTCCAGTTCTTCAATCTTTTGGGCAATGGCTACTCTAATTTTTGCCTATTACTGTTTGATTTTTTTAGTTTCATGGAGAACTAATTTTATTGATATGATCAATTACAAAATATGATCTTAAGCTGTAATTAGAGTTTTTGATATTTAAGAAAAAATTTATTTTAACTTTATTTTAATTTATTTTTCTTTTCTTTGCCTTTAAATTTTATATTTTAATTACCATTACTGATTAGAGTAATTCTATTGCATGATTTCTGAATTATATATTTTATTTAAAATTTTATTTATTGTAATCAATTGATATAATATTATGAAAGTAATTTAACCTAACTTTGAATGATTATTTGTACTTTATTTCTAATATAACTAACTTAAAACAGTTGTTAACTTATAGGTTAAAAAAATTTTAATTAATCTATAACTTAATAATCCCTATTCTGAATATCTTTGTCATTTAATTAGTCTAGGTTTGAATTGTAACCATTCTTTTGGTGCCTTTCATTATCAACCCCATCTGCCGTAGGATAAGGTGGATTGTGAAAGGAAGAGAACGTTGGGTTGTTAAAGAGCTCACACTTCTTCAATACCCCCAAAAAAAAAAAAGAAAGAAGAAGAAGAAGAAGCAGAAGAGCTGTTCTTCAATACCAAAAAAAAAAAAAAGGGCTTTTCCAATAAGCAAAATATTCATCAGAACCAAACAATGGACAATGCCATTTTATCCACTTCCTTTCTCGCGACTCAAACTGGCTCTAACCCAAAGGTGACACGAAGTAATGTTAGCAGTCAGTAGAGGATGTTTAGGGGATATGTACTAGGTGTAGGTCCCCCTGCTAAGTGGGTCCCAAAATCAAAATCTTCGTTCAGAACGCTTATACCTGGCCCGAAAAAAGAATGATGAGTATTTAAAACAGAATCGATAAAAAAAAAAAAAAAAGCATTCCACTATGAGCCAAGTTAACAGGAAAGGCCCAAAAAAGGACGGACTTCATAAAATTTCAAAACATTTCCTCTTTCTAAGATGGGGCTTGCTGTACAAATCTGGTACTGTCAATATGCTACATATATATCCACAACTTTATGGAACCTATAAAAATTTATTATTGTGCATATATCAGACGCCTACTGCTCCTTAATTCTGCTCACGGGCTAGTTATTGAGTGCACCTGCAAACCAACTTTCGCGTGGATTAGCAAGTCACAGTGATTCATGTATTCTTCTATATTAGCTTTTCAAAATTGGCAAGATGTCCTTTGACAAGATTCTTCCAGGTTCCAGCTTTGATCCCTGCATGAAGAATCATATCTGATGACATCTGTGATCAGAAACGAACAAGTTTAGATGGATAAATTCACAGCCAAAAAGATGCAAGGAGAATTACTTGTCTATATTTTCTCGCTAACGTGATTCTAATTCTAAATAATGTTCGCATGTTATAATATTACCACATGCCTAAAGAAATATATAAATACGGTGTTACATGTCAACTATTGTGCTTTGACCTATTATGCATGTGCCAAAGAGACCCCTTTATCAGCTCTACCTACTTTATAATATTTAAATAGTGTTCAATCAGACTTTATTGGTCGACAGAGAAGCCAGTGAAAACTATTTTCTTTGTCGAGACTTGAGAATCACATGATGCAAGGAAAAGAGAGTCACTTGTCAATTATTTGCCAAAAGGTCGAACACTGCTATTTCTTTTGAATGAGGAACAAGACCGTCGAGGGCATTTATTCCAGTTTATGTTACTTGAGAAGCATTTCTCAACACGTCTAAAAAAAAAAAGAAAAGAAAAGAAAGAAAAAAACACAATTATTAATCCCTATAGTTTCATCACGTTTTGTTTTTAGCTCCTGTATTTTTTTTTTCCAGTATTTTCAGTCTCCAAGAAATACTACAAAAACTCAAACTATAAGGACATAAAAAACAAACATCACCCAGGGACTGAAACCACTAAAAAAAAAAAAAACTATAGAGACTAAAAGTAAAACCCTATAAAACTATAGTGACTGATGCTTATATTTAAGAAAAATACAAGCAAGGTCAAATCCTGATGGGTCAAGTTGAAGATTGCCATTAGTTCCTCATGACGTGCAACTTAGGCTTCATGGATGCAGAAAAGAAATAAGATCTTTTTGCCTATTGCCTAGGACTCAAGTAATTAGATCAGCTGCAGATTCATGGGTAACTGATAAGATAATTCAATTAAGAACAAGCTTCCCATTACAGAACACACCCCATATCCACAGGGTCAGGGGGAAGTTCAAGTTTCTATACTACATGTAGATAGCAAATAACCGTACAGGGGGGACTACATGATTGTTCAAGTTTATCTATACATTCTTCTGCATCCTGAATAGAAATGCACAAAACTCCGAGAGAAAAGATCCTAACACAACGATTGCTTAAATTTAAAGAATAATTTTCACCCAAAAAAAAAGAGAGAGAATAATTTTGAATTGTCAAGGACAAATCTTGCACTTCTTATACACCTTACTAGTTTAAGATATTCTATTTCTTGCCTAGTTGTACAATACATGTAGTTTTTAACGACTAAACAACTACTGATACCAAGTGAAAAATAACTTTTGTCAAATATCTAATTCAGCAACAATATAAGAAGAATTACCAAACCAAAAAATGTAATTAAATACTCAAACTGTTTAAAACGTTATTTTTTTTCATTGCAGTGCAGATCTGCATCAAATTAAGCCATAAACCTTTCGCTTAAAAAAAAAAAAGAGGGAAGAAGCCATAAACCTGGAAGTCATAAGCTCGCCAATATTTTCCATTTCAGCTGGATCAAAATTTCTAACTATCATTTAACTTAATTCTTTTTTAATTAAATTTCTATGCTTGCTTGTAACTAATGATGTTACTCAATTTCCAAGTACTCTGCATTCATGGCCATTGGTTGGAAAATTTTCTTTTAAACTATATAATATTTGCCTTTTTATAAAAAAAAAAAAAATTATTGTTTATCTTTCTCCCTATAAGAACAGCCTGTTTCCTCACCAAATAGATATTAATTCATTAGACCTCTCTGAGTTTAAGCAGAAACATAATGCAATTCAACAAAGAAAATCAGTATATAGAATATATAGAAAATATACTGACCTTAAATTAATGCACTAGGTCACTGCCACTTTTGTATCAGGTAAGCAATCTCCAGCCATTGCAGTGCTCCTAGCAGATTTTTCCATTTTGTTGCTATCATGCTTCTCTTTATCAAAAGCAAACTCAAGTTGTTTCTCCACAGACTTGACAAAAGCTTTTCGCTTGAATCTTAACCAGTAAGGGGGAGAAGCATTGAAAGCCATGTTATTGAGGATGTCATCACTTGCTGGACTCTGAAAGAGCTCTCCATACCCAGAACCAGAATTATTCTTGGTTTCCTCCTGTTCATTAGAAGTATGAAATCCACCATCCACTTTCACAAATTTACAAGGAGTTACATGTGCTTGGACTCCATTCTTTCTCTTCCTCAATATGGAAGGAGTATATGGGAAAGTTTTAGCAGCCATTTTCAATATTGATTCAGGAGTCTCTGTGCATAATTCACTGCCCTTCACACAAGGTGGGGTGAAGAAACCGACAGGTGACATTACTTGAGTAGCATTGTACTCGTTCTGCAGGCAATACATACTTAAATAAAGGGAATCTAAAGGAACTGAGCTCTCCAACAATGGAGGCTCATAATACAAAGAACCAGAGGATGGACTATCCTGTGAAAAAGATGTACCAACTAGCCTGCTACTTCTCATTTCGCCATTATTCACACAATTCCCAACTTTATGCTTGCCATTTAGTCCAGTGTTATCAAATTTTGGGTCGCTGGTCAATCCAAAATTATCCCTTGACACTGGTTCTGAGTTGCTGCAGCCAAGATCTATATTGGATGATCTGAGCCTCCATTCTCCAAAGTCAGAATCAGCACCTTCATTTGCAGGAACGTTCAGAGAATTATCAAACTCTCTCACAGTTGCCAAGGACTCTAGTTGATTCTTTCCACCGCCATCTTTAGTGTTCTCTGTATTTTCTGATGATGTCTCAGCGGCAGTATCTGATACTTTATTTGAGCATACATGTACTGTTTTACTAGAAGAGCGTCTTATTGTATCTTTCACACCACCTTGAGCACCGTTCTTTTGGATTGGTGGAAGATTTCCTGTAGCTAAATAAAATTCTAATTTTTTCTTTAATGAACTATTCCAGTGGTTCTTTATTGCATTATCAGTCCTGCACCAAAAAAAATGTGTGCACTAATTTGAATTTATATAAGAAACATACTTGCAATGAAAATGCCAAAAAGTTTTAATATTGGACATCACAGAATATATATAAGAGTAAGTTACATAAACTTCTTCCCTTACTTTCCACATATAAATGGAACTCTCTGAAACAGAAAGTAATGCAATTATAGTCCAGTTTTGACTAAAATACCCTACATTAACTTATATTTTTGCGTTAAAAAGTTAATAAAATACCAAATCCATTTGTTTAGATTTATTTGTACAATTTGAAAGCAATTATCTTTTTCTTTTTTTCATTCAACAACAACAACAACAACAACAAGCCTTTATCCCACTAGGTGGGGTCGGCTACATGGATTGCAAGACGCCATTGTGCTCTATCATTTATTAAGCTTTTAGAAATATTATTAATTAAGAGTCTTTTTTTCATTTTAATCTACACAAATTTGGATATAATATGTACTTGTATATTTAGGACATTGGAGGTTATTCAGTAAAAAATTTTAAAATTGGAATAGAAAATATAAAAAATATACATTAAAGATGTGTACAATTTCAGAAAAACTTAGGGATAATTCACGTTATTTATTTTACATTACAACTTCGATCAGGTTGCAAGACCAACTTAGAATTATTGTGGCATTATCATTACTTTTCAATACCTCATGGTGGCTTGAAATATCATTTCTTGAATTCCAGGGAACTACTCAATAAAGTGGACTAGTGTGATCTAAAATCAAGTGACATGTATGATCTGACTGGCATTGATCAAACTAGTGATCAATGTCACACATTCATTAGAATTCATTGAAACATTAGAAATCCGAGACAATTAAAGTAAAACTGTAAAAGATCACCATAACATGATAATCAACCCCCCTTCTTACCAGGAGTGATTGAATTACACCTCAAATTTTTGTCCTTTAATGAGAAAAGGATTCATAAAAATACATATAAGCCCCCCTTATCATGTTGAATATCTATAAGAGAAAACACCCCAAATTCAAACTAGCTGCCAGCATAATATCTTTAGCTCAACATTCCATGATTTAGGAGTTATGACCTTGGTTTCATTATTGATAATAACAAAGTTCACAAGAAAGTATACCTTCCAGGCAAAACTTTAGCAATTTCAGCCCATTTGTTCCCATGCATGTGATGAGCATTCATGAGGGCCAGTTCTTCCTCCAAAGTCCAGGCATCCTTCTTTATTTCAGGATTAAGATGATTGTGCCATCTGTAAATGTTCGGAAATTTAATCTCATGAACATGAACTCATATTTTGAAGCCAAGACATTATTTTTATGTCTATCACAAGCTCTAAACAATAAGAGGGAGACTGGAAAAAAAAAGGAAAAATAAAATAAAATAAAATGCATCCTCTGGTCCTTAATATTAGTCACAATTTTGGAAGGATTTCTTGGTCCAAAATATAAATCGCTTCGACATATGTCTGTTGCATTAATTACTTTCTTCCATTTATGCCTTTGGTTTGCGATTAATATAATTAATATCACATTGACATTTAATGTAATTAGTAAGGGCAGTGATGGGAAAGTATTGGCTTCTTTTGTTGATGACTTTAACGATTAACCAACTTTTAACTCCTTTTCTAAATATGCATAAGGTAGTTAAAAGTTAGCTATATTAAGGACCAAAGAAGTATCATTTAGCTCATAGGCAAAGCTAAAAGTAATTATCAACTGTAAATATGTAATAGGTTCCAAACAAAACTCATCTTTTGGAGCCTAACAATAAGAAGATTGAATGAGAATTATGAAATGACTTAAAACAATCAGAAACAACTGAAACTTGATATTTAATTTGACAAGGGATTCCAACATTTATTAGCTCACAGAAATACCACATACACTTCATTAAACCTACCGCTCTCGACACTGTTTCCCAATGCGACCAGGCAAAGATTTTGCTATCATAGACCATTTTGCTGGCCCATATTTTGATACCAGTTCAACAATTTTGTCATCCTCCTGTAAGCCAAGCAAGCAAGAGAAATTAATGATACAATAAAACAGCAGGGAAAACAAAAGAAAACAGGACAAGGTCCAACCTCAGGAGTCCAAGGGCCTTTAACAAGCTCAGGATTAAGAACCTTTTGCCATCTGTGCAGACATTGCACTTCTGATCTATCAGGAAAATATTCAGCTGCATTCCAAATTTTAAATTGGTGTCATGAACATGAGTGTGATACTTTTACAGGAGCGTATGATCAACACATAGGTATATATTATCAACAAACACAATTCCTGCAGTTCACACACTTATTACTTTCCTTTGCAATGCATAAAGTGATCAACAATTAATAGGAGAAAACAAGAAAAGATATATGTATCAATTTTAGTTCTACTTTACGCCTGCCAAAGTAATGCCACCTTAACTAATAATCATCATCATGCCAGCGATAAAAAAAATGTTATGCCCATATTTTCCAACAGCAATTCTGGTCTATCAATCCATCTATTTATATATATATATATATATATAGCTTTCTCTAGTATCAAAAACCCATAAATCGTAAGCACATTAATCCTGTCTAGAAGTACAAGAGTTTAATTATTAAATCTTCAAGATGAAGTATCATCATGTCATCATTACGATAAGCCCGCCATACATACAAAAAACTCTGATTAAAGCTCTGACAATAATATTTTCCTTGTTTCTTACACTTCCAGTTGTCATATTATTAATCTCATTCCTTCAATTCTTTTAAATATCCCATTTAAATTCAAACACTGATGTTATCCGAACAGAATCACTTCCCATAAGAAGCTAGTATGAACTGCCAAAAAACCTACTTGAAACATCCATGAATCATCACTGAAATTTTGAAACTAGATATCTTTATACAACCAAGCTGAATAGTAACAAAATATGTATATATAAATTACCTATTTTCTTCCAACTCTTGCCCTTGAAAGCTGCAACAGCATTCCTCAATGTCTCATCCTGCAGCAAGTTGAAGAAAGCATTCAACAACAAATAGGAAAGAAACAAGAATAAGAAAAAATGCTGCCATGTTCAGGACTAAGCAACAACAATGTAAAACTAGATGAGTTTTAAGCTAATGATAATCAACAGATACCAAACTGAACTGATTTTATTATTTTGATTGGATAGCAAGCAGGAAGTCAGGAACATATGTAACAGGGAAAAGGATAGAAGAAAAGAAGCTATTGTCTCAAAGGACTAACCTCCTGGGCTGTCCAGCCACCCTTTGCACGCCTGATGGGGCCAGTGGTCCTCCTGCATCATCAAATTATTTACACAAGATGACAAGCAGAGCACGATTATCACATGCAAGATTCAGAATGGTCAAATCTTTCTAAAATAGATAGGGAATCAGTTGCTATTGCAGAATGTGAAATTTAGCAAACCAGTGGACACTGAATTAATCCCAGGTTTGAACAAAAATTTTTAATTTCTAAAGAGGACATTAGTTTTGTTACTATAGTGAAAAGCAAAGATCATATCAGATGTTACCGATGGGAGGGTGATGTTGATGCGGGGCTATATCTCCCAGGGGACTTGTGTACAGCACTGGCACTGCCTTCAGAGATAGAGGAGTTAGACGCAGCAGTAGATTGCTTGTTCTCTAGACAACACTCCTCTGATTTCAATTCAGCCATATCTTGCTATAACCATCTCCAAAACCCAAAATCCTGATCAACAAGCCGGCGGATATCGTTAAAGACTAAGGAAGATCTTCAGATGACGTCAACCGAAATATACACCAGCCAACAAAAACCCTAAAAAAACCCCACTAAAATTCCATGATTTCCAAAGTCCCGCAGCGAAATATAAGAGCAAGCAGAACCTAGATCTTATAAACGGTTATCAGATCAAAACCTACAGAAGAAAACGCCAATAATCCCCCTGGCTTGAAGCACTGAATCCGTGGGTTCTCACCGAAAACAAACAAACACCGGGGTCCATATGGGCAGGGAACAAATCACCAACCAAACTTGCTCGAGGTCGAGAAAACCGTAAAGACTCGATCGAATACAGAGGTGGAAATGAGAAGAAAGCGAGCTGGATTTGGCGAGCAATAAACAACAAAATCGAGAAAAGATAGCAAATTTCCAATAGTGAAGTACCTCTGCCTGGGGATAAGTGGCGGGAATGAAAGTGAATGTCATAAAAAGGGAGCCAAAAATCCAAGCCCAAATATACCTCCCTGGGAAACAAAGCGAGCTATGGTTTCGAAAAGACCTCGCCCGTTGAAACAAGGAAGGCAATATGGGGAAAACAAAAATATTAAAGAATTGGCGACTTTTTATATATAACGAATACATAGCACCGACGTCTCCATTAGGCGTTAACTACCGTTATCGATTTTGTTTCCTTCACTCATTCACCAATGTCATCATATTATTATTATTATTATCATTATCATTATCATTATTATTATTATTGTGAACTTGTACTAGCTAAGATTACACAATGCATTTTTTATGTTTTGAAGTTAGTAATTATTTTTGGTAAAATAATAAGGTTAAAATATTTTACATATAATATTAATTTTTTACGCAAATTATAATTCATTAAATATTTTCATAATATTAATTTTAAATTTTGTTTAATTTAAATTTTTAGTCATGACGATATTTGTGTTTATTATAATAAATTTATCTTTAATATTTCGGCTAAAATTAAAATATTGTAATAAAAGAAATAAGCTTTAAAATTTGTGTAGTGGACCTACTTAATTTGTATCTTAGCTAGAGTGTAACTTTTTTTCGTTATATAGAGTATGTATATATTTCAATTTTAATTTTTTTAAAAAAACTAGGTATGTTAGATAATATTCCAAGAAAAATAAGAAATTATCCTCCAGAAACATAGTTTCTAAGGGTTAACAATCATTAACCAATCATCTAGATATTTAGACTCGTGAAAAAGTGAAAGAACAAGTTTAAACCTCAATTGGCACTAAGGCATGTTTGAGAGTATATAATGAAACAGAAAAGAATGATGATTGTTAGAATATAATGGGATAGAGTGGAATGGAATGGAACATTCCGTAATTTAAAAGTTTTATTAAAGTAATAAATGATTTTAGTTAATCATTATTTAAAATATTATAAAATTAATATATTTGAATTATATATAATTATATTTTTTAGTTTGATGGTGAGGGCAAATGAAAGGGTGAGAGGGAGGTGAGAAAAATGGGTTTTTTAACAATAGGTGATTTGAAAAGCCCTTCAAGCCATTCCACTCTCTTTCAAAAATTTATCCCAAGTAATGTTATAAGGTTTTTATCCATTCCATTATATCATAAAAAATATATATATATCTCCTAGACATTACCTGAAGCCTAAGGGGTCTTGATTAGTTGGGTTAATTTTAGACTATTTGATGGGGATAGAGGAGATCAGAGGTTATAAGGAATGCTACAACTAATTAGGCAATGTTTAATATGCGAAAAAATGTTTTATAGAAAAAAATGAGAAATATTTCTAGAAATAAAGGATATATATGTGTATATTTTTAGAAAATGCATTTTTACTTGCTAAACATTATATTAGAGTACGTTGCTTGGAGGGTTAAAGTGCCTTTGCTAATATTAATTGATTGAACCTCACAAGACTTGAAGTCTAAACCTTAATTGCTTCGATTGGCTGACTTCCACAAATATGAAAACAATCAAACTTATGAAGATACGTCTCCTCTTGTCTTAAGTTGGGATTTTCTTCTCTAATAAACACCCAATTATACAGTCTTATATGTGGCAATGGAGTTTTGTATGGTTGAGTAGAGAATGAATCAATCACAAGGTCCAAAGAATGTTACATACTTAGGCTCATGAAATGGCTGGTTAGTATACATGCATGTATAAATTTTAGGGAGAATTGCACTTAGGGCTCTCAAAGCATAAAAATTTACAATCAAGACTCAATGCATTTTGAATTTATTATGTAGGCCTGAAGGCATTAGATGTAAATATATTTTAGTGATAAAAGATCCATTTGTCCATATATGACCTTTGTCATTACCCATACTTAAGTCCAACCAATGAAGCCAATTAATTTTAAGTAAGAGACTAAATGAAGGAAGATAGAATCAACTTTGGCTAACAGCACTCGTATAACATATTTTAGAGTAAATGAGATCTCAAAATAATTTCCACTTGAAGACAATAAGTTAAGCCCTAAAAAACCATTTAAAATCAGAGTACAAAAGGTTATAGAAACATAGGAAAATGTTTGAGCATTATGACAAGTTAAATAGGTGCAAAAGAGTCATTTCAATAAAATTGGACATGTCTGTCATGGCTAAGTGCTTATCTGTTATGGCTTGTGGTGTAATAACCTCTGTCATTAATCATTCTTAAACTTAATTAATTAAACCAGACATTAAAAGTAAGAATCAACCTTAGCTAAGGCAAAGTTTAATAACTACTTTGAAAGCATTAAGGGCAATGGTATCCAAAAAAAAATTGTTGAAAGTAAACAATAAAATATGACACTTAAAAAATACTTTAAATCATAGTAGACTATGCTCTTAAGATGTTTGGAAAGATAGTGAGACCAAAGGAGCAACATGAAGCTTACCATTTTCTACTAGCATGAAATTACCCAAATCTGACATAAATGTTTTTGTTATTTCAATGAAAACATGTTATTTATGAAGTTTATAATGTACAAATGTTGCTGTTATGCAAGTGTTCAGGTATGCTATAATGTCCACTTGATATTATCAGAATATACCATGCAAATCCTCACTAATAATTAAGAACCAATTAATCCATATGATTTACAACAGAAGAGGTTTAATAATTAAGTTTGAAATCATATAAAACTCAGGATCCTACCAAAACCCTTTCTAAAAATGTTGGTTAAGCTTAACATATGTTTTAGAAATCAGAGTTAAACAATATAGGGAAGCATGAGGACTAATATGGAAATAGATAACCAAATGTTTGTTAAAAATATAGTTTGCCCTAACAAGATACATACGAATGCAAAAAGCCATATTTTCACAACTTGAACTGCATCTAAGTGCTACTAGCTTCAATTGAGGCTTAAACCAAGTCCAATAAATTGGCAAGTACTTGTTAGTATAGTTATTCACACTTTATCATCATCCAAACACATTTTTAAACCATTTAAACGTTCTAGAAATTCACTAAAAAGAGGCATATCTATAAATGTTGTACTTGGCTAACCAACAACATTCAATAATCAAAATATCTAGTATACCATAAGTAATCATATACTTGCAGGTGTAATTTGGCCACAATACAACCTCACCAAGAGATTCACAATACAAGCCAAATTCCCACAATAACAAGTCACATAAATCATGCAAGTACATCTAAAAGAATGATATGTTCCTAGTTGGCAATGAAAACATGTGTACATATATTCAATTACACATTGTTAATCAAAAGTTATTGGGCAATTACAAAGAGCAGAGCCTATCTACTTTTTGCCATGACTAGCTTCCCTTTTACCCTTGGCAGCACTGTCAATTATGAGATGAGATAAAATCCCAATAACTAAATAAGCACACTACCTACTAATAAGTCAAAATATAAATAAACATGCAAAGTGGGATAGCAACAATTTATATAATCATGGTATAATAATGCATGATTCACAGATTCAAATCGAACCTCTTAAACATTGACGATTGAACCTGTGGGCTATTAACATGATTTGGCCAAGTCTATGACCAGACTAATCTGATCTCATCAAATAGGGAAAATAACCTGGCTAAGGTCTCATTCCACTTTTAGACCATGATTTTCCATTTTTTGACTAATTAAGGTATCATATGCCTAATTAACCGCTACATGCAATACAACGAGGACTTTCAAATAGAATAATCAAATACTAAGGCCACGCATGGTGTCGAGTGATACCATATGATTTTGTACTACTCCCTTTTAAAGTGAACCGCCCATCCTCACATGCACCATCATACAATCACATGTTGCTTTAGTCTAAATCACATATATGCATGACTATGCTTGCACATATATTAGATTTCACCCAGTAATAACCATGATCAATACACCATTATCATAGATTAAGATCATAAATTCATAAATATAGGTGTACGCAATTATATATATATATATATATATATATCAAAATCTTCAATTTCACCCAATAATAACCATTTTCCTATTTCACATGAGTTTTAAAACTAACTCACATACTCGCATGCTTGTTTATAGATATAATCTCATATAGGTACATCCTGACAATTTATAAAACCTTAAATATGATCTAGCAGGTTAATAACTAGGATAAATTATTTGTTTACCTCAACCTTTTCATTATATAAATGGTTAACAATGGATTTTACAACACTTCTCAAGCCTCCTTAAACTCAAGCAACTCCGAGCAACTATAATTCATATAATTAAACTCTAATCATTAATCATCAATCCCAACAAAAGAATTTTTTAGTTTAATTAAGCTAGCCACAACCTTACCTTTTATCATTAACTAAACTAAAGCCCCCAACAACCTTTTATTAGTTCCATTTATCCTCCATGAACTCTAACAACAATAAATTTTGGTCTATATAGTTCTCAAAGTCTTAATTTAAGCCTAAGGTTCATATAAACCCTAAATCCCAACACTTAAACATTATAAAATCACCAATCCTAGATATATAAACTTAAAGTAACTCCAATAACTCTATTCAATCCATTGGATTTGGATCTAAACCCTAAAGTTTAAAAATCACAACTCCCAAATCTAAAAATCTTTCAAGACAAACGTGTAGGAAGGTAGTGGGAAGGATTAGGGAGTTTAGCTGGATAATTGGAGGACTAAAAATAATCCCAAGTAGACAAAAATTGAAGTCCTAATAGAGCACCATTATTGCTTTCCTTCTCCCCCTTCCTCTCCTTGGGTTCTAATTTGATTTTCAAAATAGGGACTTTTATCTATGTTTGCAACCGTGAACAGTTGGCTTATGTATTTCACAACCTTAGATGGTTGAAGCCACTTAAACCAAATTTGCTTTATCTGTCCATAATTATGGGTGGTTATCTCTACTGAAGGACTCAATTGCAGGTAGTTGTGAACATAGAGCACACTTCTCTTTCAATAATGCTTGTTCACGCACAATGATCACCTCTTTAGATTACAATTGTTATGAACAAAGACCCAACATTTTCCCTTAAATACACCTTTAAGCCCTAAATTTTGCTCTACCTTACACCTAGTCTATTTCTACTGTTTATTACTTCTAATTACCCTTGTTGATAT